CTTCTCTGAAGTGAGCTGTCTACGCTCCATCACTTGCCAGCCTGACCAGAATGAATGATTCATGGGATTAGCAGTTAAGACCACTCACTCACTACACACAGCATTTTGCACTAGATGACCACGCTGGGAATACCTTCTCCAGCTAAATGCTTGTTTTCCCTGAAAAATTTATCAGGAGTGTATCAGTTTACGGTCACATTTAGCTACTTTTTCATCTCATGACATAAAGTTATTACCTGTGAAACGATCACCGTTAGTAAGTGGAACTACATGGGCCTTGCAAGATAAAAATCCGTCTCTCTCTCCACCCCATTCCCTTGGCCTCTGCATTGTCACAAGCCATAATGACAGAAACTGATGGTAGCTGTGCTGTTGAGATTTTTGTTTTGGGGGATTTTTAAATATGTGATATAGAAACCTGTTCTATAATGTAAAAAGTGAATAGGAAACCTGGTATCTGGAAAGAGACGGAGCCCTGGGGGAGGCCAGATTCTCTGTTAAGAGGAGAGGATGAGGGAGCTGGGGCTTCACCCCTTTTCCCTGCTCCATCTCCTCGGAGCAGCCACTCCCAGCCTCCATGAAGATGAAGCAAAGACCACAGGCCTGGCCCTGCTAGGCAGTGGGAATCCAACACACTGGACACTCAGTGGAGCTCTGTAAATATTTGTTGAATGAGTGACTAAATATGTGATGAACTGTTCCCACCCTGCAGGGCTCCCTGCTTTGCCCTCCCCAGCCAGGCTTTGGTACAAGCCTGGATTGGATTTCATGGAGGATTTGTGCCCACTCTGGGAACTGCTGGAAGACGCATAATCTCTTTTAGACCTCCCAGTTGTCATTGAAAGATCAGGGACAAGAATTTGAGCAGTAAATCAAAGCTTGTGCAAAACAGAGTGACATAGTCTGGGAATGGATAATAATGCATGGCCTCTCGAATTCCCTGAAGGAGACATGACTGTGTGTGCATCATGGTTTGGTACAGAGATGGCTGAAGAGACAGCGACTCACTCTTCTGGTTGCTGGATGCCTCTGGACTGGCTGTGATGACGGAAGGCACACCCCCTCCTGGACAGCTGGAGCTTCTCCTGGATTAGAGGCAGCAGAAGCGGCAGCGGGCCTGACTAGAGAGCTGGAGGGGCTGGGCGCAGAGGTTCTCTTGTGGCAGGGAACCCAGCTAGAGCTGCTCACCGCGAGCATGATTCTGCCACAGGGAGAGCACAGAAATCTTATGTGATCGATGGGAGAGTGTTTGCTAAACTCCTAAAGTTTAGTCATTCAACAAACATTTATCTACACACCTCTGTGCTAGCCACACCCTAGAGACACATCTCTCGCTGCCCTCGTGGAACTCTGTCTTGAAAAGGATACTGACCCTAATCAGATTTTTAAAAATACATAATTATGCAAATAAATAAATCATATTGTATATAATTACGAAGCATGTTATGAAGGGAGAAATACAAGATGCTGTGAGAGCATGTAATATTAATAGAAGGATCTGGCCAAATCTAGGGGGTCATCAGTGAGTTTTCCCCGAGGGACTGATGTTAGGGCCAAGATTAGAAGAACAGAGACGTCCAGGAGTTAACCTAGTCAATAATCATTGGTATATTTTTATTAAGCGCTTTCCTTGAGTCAGTCTTCACTTGCTGCATTAACTTCTTTAATCCTCCCAACCACCCTGTAAGGTAGGTATTGTTATTTTTCCATTTAACAGATGAGAAACTGAAGCAAAAACATTTAACTAATCCACATTTGGGCCTCTGGCGACAGAAGCTCTTATTCCACATAGGGAGCTTCCCAGTCTGGGAAAGAGAGGAGGCTGATCGCTGAAGGGCAGGATGAATGTTCTTATGAAACTGCCAAGATAAGAAAGGGTCGTTATGTAGATGATGATATTCACGTTAAAAATGTTAGTGTTTTTCCTAAGGCCAATAGGAAATATCTAAAACCAGGGAATGCATAATCATATTTACTTACGTTTTAGAAAGATCACTCAGGCTGCTGGAGACTAGAGTAGAAAGAGGCAAAGAGGAGACCTACAGAGACCAGTTAGGAGGCTGTCGGCATGACGCAGGCGCGAGATGATGGTGGCCAGGACTGTGGCGTGCCTGTGGAGATGTAGAGAAGTAGTCAGATAAACACAGTGTCTGGTGGGAGCAGGCACTTCCAAGTAATTTAAAAGAGAAACTCAAGTCCCTTGGAAGCAAGCATTTGACATATGCTAATTACCAATTATTTTTATCCAGTCCTTTTATAGGGGCTCCAATTCGGGAGTTCTTACACCAGTTCCCGTATGTGTCAAAAGCATAGCATGGACCGCCTTCTATAACATTCTATTTTAATACAATTCAGCCAATTGAAAACCAGGTCAAAACCCTGCTCCCCGGCATCTCTGTCTGTTACCATGTGACACTCGGAGGGCAGTTGTCCAGACCTGCACTTGGGATCATCACATTCCTTGGCTCCCAGGGCAGAGCCCTGAGAGGTTCCTTTGAGCCCCCGCACTATGCTAGGAAATGCTGCCTTTATCAACTCCAGATGTCAGTCCACAACTCCTGATGAGTCAGGTTTCTAAAGATAGATGTGCTGCTCTGTGTGGAAAGAATATTTGGGGCTGAGCATCTTTAACTGAATGGTATGGAATGGTGTGGGAAATGTGAAGCCCTGGATGGCTTTCTCTGCCAGCAGTTTTCTGGGATTGCTGAATTGGGGTGGTGGGAGAGAGAGGGCTCAGCTGTGGAGGAGACATAGACAAGCCAAACTAGACCATCTGTTGCCTTAGTGACATGGTTAGTGTCCTCCTTGTTCCTGATGAAGTCCATTTAAGATACTGATGACATGTCTTTCTTTCTAACAAACAGAACACGGAGATCTTTCCAAACTAGGGAATGGGCCCTGTCAGATGGGAGCTGAGATTGTGAGCTCCTGTTTGCAGAGTGAATGCTGATCTGATGAGGCATTTCCCCGGATTGTTGGACTCCTAGCTTTTACATTCTGTTTAAGCTGGGATATTTCTATGGAAGGCAAAAAAATAAACGCTAAAAAGTCAGGCTTGCGATTCTTCTGATGTCTGGGATTTAGTGCTTTTCCCCCTGGATGGGGTATTCTCCGCCACCTTGTGGACATTTGAGGAATTTCGCCTTCCCAAGCTTCTCTGCAGTCGGAGAAGGAACTGGCTGAGAGGCTGGGACCAGGCTGCCATAACCACCTGGTCCCCTGAAGTACAGACCAGGCTCCAGGCTTGCCCACAGGACCAGCACAGAACAGAATGAGGGTGACCAGAGTGCTAACCTTCCCTGCTACTCTACCATGCATCAGCTGATGGGCCTGCCGCCCTTGAGGCAAATGGAGATGGAGCAAGCCTCACTGGATCTTAAGTTGAGTACTTCTATAAAAGTAAAGCTCCAAGACTTTTTTTTGCTTTTTCCCCAAAAGGAACAAGAAAATGGGACACTAAGGTTGGCAACAGCTATTTGCTGCTTATGAAGTGCTGGCATGTGCATACTTTTGCCCTGTGGTTGCTGAGCTGAGAGGGGCTGTTCTTGGCATAGAAACATGGCAGGGGTGGGTCCTTCATAACATGCTACCCCAGCTTGTCTTAGGTGAAACTTGAGACACACAGGTGCCAACCCTAGGTTTGCATGTGTTTTGGTAAGTGGCCTCTGGCAACCAGCTTGCAGACTTCATGAGACGAGCACACGGTAGGCTGTGTGGGCAGTGGAGAGAACACGAGTCCACGGCCTCACAGACCTGCTTTCCAATTTGCTCCCCGTCACATACCAGCTATGTGACCTCGGGTACTTTACCTATGACAGTCAATCTTCTCCTGTAAAGTACAGATAATGATAGGACCTACCTTGTGGGAAGCTTGGAGGACTAAATACAACAAAGCCCAGAGTGTGGCTCGTGGCCAACTCTCAACTGGTCCATGTGTGTAACCAAGATATGCTGAAGTCATATGAAGTCATACGAATTCACTGCTGAAACAGCGGTGGGGTCAAGGATATCAATAGTCTCTGATTCAAAACAGCCCAAACTATGTCATTGTCTCCATGGAGGTAAGATGTGAACCACAGTGTGCCTGAAGGAGGGGTGCAGTTAAAGAACTTAAACATGCCAAGCGATCAGAGGCAGGGCTGCATGCTCCCTGGGTGGCCACACTCCCCACCCTCATGCGGGTGCGTGTCTAGGAGGCAATGGTGGGCCTCCTAGCTCCTGAGTGATGAGTGGCTCCCAAGCTCTCCCCCACAACCCCATTGAGACAAAGGCCTGCAGAGCCTGACATGTGTAAGGGCTGGCTGGGCTGGCTGGGCTGGCTACTGTGCAGTGCTAGTCAGCCCCCAGGGTGAACATGGCTTTTCTAAAAGGCACCTAAGGGGATGCAGAATTTACCAGCAAAACCCAAGGACAGCTCTTTGTCATTTCTGCATTTTCCATTAAAGACTGCAAGCTTTGGAGTGTGTGTCTGGGGTTTTTAGAGATTGCCATCACCTTATAAGGGAAAGAAATATACATTTATTGAGCACATACTATGTGTTGGCACTATGCTAGGGAGTTTAGACATTTAAGCCTTCAGCAGCTCTGTGAAACAGGAGTTGTTATTTCATCCATTTTACAGGCAAGGAAACTGAAGTTCAGTAAAGTGAAGTGGCCTGGCTAAGCCACCTGGCTAGTGAGAATGGAGCCAGGGTCAGGATGGAGTTGGGATAATCTTAGCGGTATTACACCTTTGTGTGCCACACAGCACCAGGCACAATGCCCTGGACTTAGGAAGAGCTTAGTAAATGCCTGTTGAGTGGAGAATGGAAGGATTCATGTGCCAAAAGGCATTCGGAAACGGGCAAATGCCCAGGCAGGGCTCTGAAAGACCAGCTATGTGGAGCAGCAGCTGGCGAATCATCAATTTAAAAGTCACTGTCATCCGGCCGGTGGCCTGCTGGCCTGCAGCCAGCCGTGTACAAGGGCTGACTTGATCAGCTTTGGCTCTTTTATTTCAGGCAATCCACCTTCCAAAGAGGTGCCTGCTGGGAAGTACCCATTCATAGTCACCTCCGACGATGGGCGGAAAGTTCCTGTGGTCCAGGCCTATGCTTTTGGCAAATATCTAGGCTATTTGAAGATAGAGTTTGATGAAAAAGGAGATGTTGTCTCTTCACATGGAAATCCCATTCTTCTAAACAGCAGCATTCCTGAAGGTATGTGAAATTCGGGAGAATGTCCCACCAATTTAAAATTTAGATGGCTGGATATTTCCCCCCCTCCCGCCAATGACCTCTTTTAAAAAAAATGTTTCAGGACAAAACTGTAATACTATTGAAGAATTTAGCTTCTCCCTGGAGTTTACCCTCCTCATGGAGAAGGAGATTTCAAACACACCCAAATGCCAAGACGCTCATTTGCTTCTCTGAGTCCTCTTAGCACCAGACTCTGCATCGCCACTTCTTCTGCCTTTTAAAAGCTTGGTCCTGACGTGCAAAAGCCACTCTCAGCTCATGCCCAGAGGAGAGCTGATTATCGAAGCAAATGGGTTCAAACTGGGCAAAGTTGGGCTCAAATTCTGGCCCCCCATGAGGAGCCATGTGCCTTGGGCAAGTTGCCGAGTCTCGATGGGCCTCAGTGTCTTTATTCATCACATGAGGGAGTACCTTTCTAACTCTTTTGTCTGGGACTCAGAGTAAAAGTACATTTTTATGTCATTCATTTTTATATCGTATACATGAACATATTGCTGTGCTTGTTTCTCACCTGACCTTTTCTGTTTACCATGATCAGATTGGCCTGTATGGTCACTACACAGGCCTTTTTGTAGCCAGACAGGGAGGGGGCCAGGACCACACAGACAGTGACAGCCCAGCAGCACCTCAGCAGCCTTTGACACCTGCCCTTGGGCCTTTCAGAGCTCCTACCTCTAATGCTATCCCAGGCAGGCCAACAGGTAGCTCATACAGATGTGATGAGTTGATATTAAGATGTTCAGCATATCCTTAAAGTAAGATCCACTTCAGGTCTTATTATCAGGGAACAAAATAGAGGTTCCTAAGGAAATTTCATGGTTAAAACCAAAATGTACACAAATATGGGAAAGAAATATGTACTCACAACAGGTAAGCTAGATGATATTTGATTCCTTCTCCAGAATTTAGCCCAGTGTGAGATCTGCTTTAACTATAGGCTTCCTTCTTTCCTTCCTGTCTTTCTTCTTTCTTTTTCTTCTAGATCCAAGCATAAAAGCAGACATTAACAAATGGAGGATAAAATTAGATAATTATTCCACCCAGGAACTGGGGAAAACCATTGTCTATCTGGATGGCTCCACCCAATCGTGCCGCTTTAAAGAATGCAACATGGGCAACCTGATTTGTGATGCTATGGTGAGTTGTCCGCAGGAGCGGAGTGCCTGTGTCTGGTGAGGAAGGAAAGGAAGAAGGAAAGAGGAAGGAAGGATGCAAAGAAGGACAGACTGATAGTAGCAGATCAGAGATTTTAAAAAATTAGCGCCCAGACAAAAGCTTGGTGTGGTTTCATACTGAGTTCCTTGGTAAGGTGCCTGAAGTAGATCACATGACCATCACTTTATTGCCTTACAAGAACTGAAACCTTTATTTCAAGGTGTTCTTAGATGTCTGAATTTTGGATTTTTTTTTTTTTAGTAAGAGATGAATACACAAACTCTGTTGCCCTGAAGATGTCAACATAGTAGATAAAACACATCTGTTTGGGCCGGGCATGGTGGCTCACGCCTGTAATCCTAGCTCTCTGGGAGGCCGAGGCGGGCGGATTGTTTGAGCTCAGGAGTTCGAAACCAGCCTGAGCAAGAGCAAGACCCCGTCTCTACTAAAAATGCAAAGAAATTAATTGGACAACTAAAAATATATAGAAAAAATTATCCGGGCATGGTGGCGCATGCCTGTAGTCCCAGCTACTCGGGCGGCTGAGGCAGGAGGATCGCTTGAGCCCAGGAGTTTGAGGTTGCTGTGAGCTAGGCTGACGCCACGGCACTCACTCTAGCCCGGGCAACATAGTGAGACTCTGTCTCAAAAAAAAAAAAAAAAAACACATCTGTTTGGACCTAAGTTGGCCAGACTATTTTTCCCTGATCTGTCCACCTAGCTCCCAGGTGTGACTGGAACCGCTTTCACAAGCATAGAGTGGCAACACACAGTTAAAATGATCCTAAGTCCCGTGGCTGAGCGAGATCAGCCGTGAGAAGCACCCTGGTCTACTTGTCTGCAGCAGACTGACTGCGCTAGCTCCCGGCGGGCCAGACCTACCGCTTCCACAGGCTCACGGCGCGCACCCAGGCCAGTCATTTATTTGCCAGTGCTCAGCACGTGGTGCCCGGTGCCAGGTGCCTGGTGTACAACTGCACTCAATAAATGCGTGCCAAGTAAATGACAATGTTCATGCTTTCGGAGATGAGACTCCTGGTGGCTGCCCAGCACCTTTAGGTCAGCAGGGCAAAAGGGGTTAAAGAGGAGGCAGCATGCAAATATTCAGAGGAAGCTTTAGAAGGAAATGCCCCAGGCTGTTGGCAATGCTCACCTCTATTCCAAAGGCCGGGGAGAATACATACAAGAACTTTTGCTTTTTGAACTATTTATTTTCAAATGAGCATATATTTATGTTATTTCTTATAACTAAACATATATTTTGTAAAAGAAAAGAAAGAATGAACCGGATTCTCCCAGTTTCAGGAGGCTGTCCCTGTGCCTCCAAAATTGCGGACTTGGGAATTGGCTGGGGACATAGACATGGAGGCCAGGTTCTTTCTTGTTGGTATGAGGTCTGGGGTTGAGCAGGCAGGAGACACACCCCACCCTGGAAGAACCTGTGCAGGAGCAGGGCTGCAAGCCAGTCCACACAGGAGGCCCAGCCTTGACACCAGGGCTATGCCCCAAGAGATCGTCTTGCTAAGGCCTACCAGCCTGAGAGTACGGGGTTTTAGGAGAGGGGAACTAAGAGCTCTCTGTATTTAATTTGTGTTACTGTTGCAGATTTACAACAACCTTAGACACGCAGATGAGATGTTCTGGAACCATGTGTCCATGTGCATTTTAAATGGAGGTGGCATCCGTTCGCCCATTGACGAGCAGAACAATGGTATGCTCCCCAACCCGGCTCCTCCCTAGCCCAGCTCCACAGTGGTGTGTCGTGTTCTGTCTCTGACTTGTTTTTCCTGCTGTGGCTCCTGCCCTGACCATGACCATACCCAGCCTCAGCTCATCTCTGCTGCCAGCCATGTACCAGAATGTCAGTCATTTAAGTTAGGGTTAGCTGTTACCAGAGTCCAGGACCTAGCCTGAAAGACACACACAAGCTCGTGCGTTCTTATATGGATTCACACAGAGAAGCGGCAGCTAGGGTTAATGGAACCCAAGCTTGGTTTAAATTTCTGACTCACAAAAGTAAATACTGATTGTTGCTGATTTATGCAAAATGTTCATTTTGCATAAATGTTTATTTTGCAAGCCTTCACGTTGGCATCTGAAAAGAGAAAGACAAAAATCACCAATCTTCAGTATAATTGACCAACACTAAGGTGCTCACACGGAAGTAATATTCATTGGGTGCCGGTCAAGGGGTGGTGGGTAGACTCACAACTAATGGGTGCGGAGTGCACTGTACAGGGGAAGGGCATGCTTATAGCTCTGGCTTGGGCAAGGCAAAGGCACATATAACCAAAATGTTTGTATCCCCATAATATTCTGAAATTTAAAAAACAAAGAAAGAAAAAAAAATCACCAATCTTCTGTGCTAGAAAACATACCACAGGATTAAATGTTATTTTATTGTATTTACAGATATCCAAGATTGTATTATACGGTAAAACAAATAAACTAGACAGATGTTACGACAATCCTATAGACCTCCCTGATATATTGTCATCACCCATCAGCATCTGTATAAGGTCCCAAGCTCATCTCACTGTCACACGACAGGGACAGGGGACAGGGGACAGGGATACACTGCCTATCTGCAGGAACTGAGCAATGCCTAACAACCTGCAGATCCAGCCCCAAGCCAGGAGACCCAAGGCTGAGCATGGCGGACTTTTGAGGCACAGCCATTTGTGAGCTCCTGTCATCTTGCCCAATGGTGGAAGGCAGGGCCAGAGGCCTTTTGAATCCATTCCCTCCCTAAGTGTCAGGAACCACTTAGACATAGCTGATGCTGCTCTGACGGCCCCCATATATCCTTCCCCCGCCCTGAGGGAAACTGGTCTTGGGGTTAGCATTTTCTCAAGCTGTTTTCCTTCTTGCCTCATCTGTGACTACCCTCAGGCACGATTACCTGGGAGAACCTGGCTGCTGTGTTGCCCTTTGGAGGCACATTTGACCTAGTCCAATTAAAAGGCTCCACCCTGAAGAAGGCCTTTGAGCATAGCGTGCACCGCTATGGCCAGTCCACTGGAGAGTTCCTGCAGGTGGGCGGTAAGTCACCCATCCTTCGGGGCTGGCTCGTCCAAGGTGATGTGCGTTGCCTGCTGGTTGGCTCAGCTCCTCCCTTATCAGGACCTCTGTGGCCAGGCTTGTTTGGGTTTTCCCCTATCCAACACCAATACATCATTTTTTAATTGCTGTGGACTCCCAGAGCCACTGAGACTAGGTTGGGGTCAAAGGCCCAAAGTCCTGGCAATGAGCAGTATTAGCCAAGTCTGATTTGGACATCAGATGGGCCCCTCACAGAAGCTGGCCCTCTAAACTCTAAGCACGTCAGCTGCCTTGAAGTCTAGTTACTATTAAAATCTTAGGTGTTTAAGCATTCAATATTCTTTAAAAGCAATCCTCTCTTCTGTTCTATTTGTAATTGCCTGGAACCATGCCAAGGTTCAAATGAATGCTGCCCAATCAGTATTAACAAGGATGATTTCTGGGAGAGACAGCCTGCTGTGCTGACACATGAGAACACCTGATTCCTATCCCACCGTAACCTGGGGCAAGTCCTCAACCTCTCTGAGCACCGCCAGAAAACCTGTCCTGCTAATCTCACAGATTGCAGTGAAGACTGAATGGAAATAAATGTTTCTCGAATTGCCAAGGGCTTCTGAAACACTTTTCTTAGCAATTAATTCCACATGCCAGTGAATTAATCCTTTAATTAATAATCTTCTTTTACTCGGAAACCATTTTCTGGCCTCATTTTTTGACTTTAGATTGTGGCCCCACTTGGTGTAATCGCCTTGCCAAGTCGTCCCTCTGCAGAACACACTGTTGAGATTGAACGTCTGGGGCAGTGGGACCCCTGGCCTGCTTGCCTGGGGGGTAACCCAGACATCCTTTATTTTCTCAGGAGGGAATTGAGGGAACAGCAGTGTTTTGATGCTCTAGCATCATGGGTAGCTGTTTGCTTTGTGAAAGTCACCCAATCCCAAGTTATTACCATTTAGTAGTCTTCAAAATTGTAAAATGCTCTGTGCCTCTCATCTATTTCTCATTTTCTAAAACCATTGACTTAAGTTAGTGGACCAATTATTTCAAAATTTTAAAGAAGGAGAAAAAGATGTGGCTTCTCCTTGCAGAGTCACCGTTTGCCCATTCTGGTCCAGAGCTCATTTTCTTTCCAGTGGTCCTCATATCTCCTAGAAGGACTAACGGATAAAGCTAATGAAGAAAGGGTAGCTGCAATGTCACCTCAATTCTCTTGATGAAATTTCACTCAAGCTCAAACTAAAGGAAAACCAAGCCCAGTGCCCCAATTCCAGAGTTTGGCCAAAATCCTTTCTTTAGAAAACAGAAATCTCCCTTTGGATCCAGTGAACAGACTCATTTCTTTTCTAGGAATCCAAGTGGTGTATGATCTTTCCCGAAAACCTGGGGACAGAGTAGTCAAATTAGATGTGCTTTGCACCAAGTGTCGAGTGCCCAGTTACAGCCCTCTTAAAATGGATGAGGTATATAAGGTGATCCTCCCGAACTTCCTGGCCAATGGTGGAGATGGATTCCAGATGATAAAAGAAGAATTATTAAAACATGACTCTGGTAAGCACAAATGTCTCTTCCTTTCCCTATCCCAAAGGTACTCGAGAACAACAGAACTGGCAGAAGGGGAGCTACTCATGGTGCAAGGAGGGCAAAGCCAGAACCCAGATCTCATCCCTCTGTTGCAGACTCTCTCCTGTTTGCTTGTTGGAAAACAGCAGCATGGCACTGGGAAATAAATACCCTGTCAACCCCATCCAACCCCTGGAGAAAACCATGTTTAAATCAAAAATGTTCTAAAATTCTTTTAACTACATCTAAGCAGCTATTTAAATTGTTAAATATGAGCTTTACACTTACAGAAAAATCACACCTCTGGAACTTTAGATTGGACATGGAAAACCATCATAGTAAATTATCTCAATATTCTTTCTTGAAGCAGCTTTCAGTGTGAATAGGTCAGGTAGAAGTGGATGGGCTAAGTGCCCTCCTTTCCGCACAGTGGGTTGATGGAACAAATTACAGGCAAACAAAAGGAAGCCACTTTTTGACATCAGTTGATATTTTCAACAGCATTGACATGCCAACCTCACTTTTAAAAATCCAATTGAGAGCCACCTCATGTGCATAAAGTCCGCTGACGCAGAACACACTTCCCTTTCTTCCTAGGGCAGGAAGCAACATGCTTACAACACACATACGCCCTTCTTGGCACCTCTGGGAAGCTCAACTAGGCTCCTCTTCAGCCTTACCAGAGTGGACCTGCCATTTTAGCTGCCTAATCCAAGGAGGGTGGAGGACAGAGCCAGACCAAAGGAGAAGGCCCTTCCTGGGAGGAAAGGCGCTGGCAACTTCTGTCCATTCCATGATAGAAGATGGAAGGGCAGGCTTAAAAACCTGACATGAGACAAAGAGGGTGATGGCTGGGCATCACCCAAGCCCAGACTGATGGGTGTTAAAGAGAAGGCACTCACGCAGCAGGCTGAGGGAGCCTGGACCTAAGCATTCCCAACCCTGGCTATACATCACAATCACTTGGGGAGCATTTTAAATTCAACACCAATGTCTTGGCTCCAGCTCTTAAGAGATTCTGATTTAATTGGGTTGGACTAAAGTCTCTTCCAGTGATTCTATATACACCCAGGGGTGAGAACCACGGCAGAGAGAATTATTTTTTTAAGTATTGGAGTGATATTTTTAAAATAAAATTCTTTTGGTTCCCCATGGGTTTGCTGTAGCTACAGGCAAGTAGTGTATCTTTATAACCTCTTCTTGCTTTTGGAAAGGAAGCCCCATTGTTCCACCAACAATTATGTGAAAATAATTCTTGAGCAGGCAAACAAAAAGAAGCCACTTTTATCTCTCAACTAATTCTTCTTGATCCAGTTCCCTAAGCCCTTTTTCTGGAGAGGTTCAAAGGCTGTGATGGCAACAACCTCTTTCTCGAGTCATCTCAGATCTGAGGCAACTCTACTCTCCCCAATTACACAATCGTGAACAACGGGCACATTTCACATCTGGAATGTGAAAAAGCAATCAAATTCTTTGCACTTATGATCACCAGTGTTCCTGTCTTCTGTAACACTTTACCCCTCTTAGGAAAGGAGTATCTTCCCTTTTATAATTACAAAGGACTTTAAAAGAAAACATTGGTTTTTCCTCCTCTCTTGCTGTTAATTGATAATTACTTTTTCTATAGTTGAATAACGTATGTATTTTTCTAGGTGACCAAGATATCAACGTGGTTTCTACATACATCTCAAACATGAAAGTAATTTATCCAGCAGTTGAAGGTCGGATCAAGTTTTCTGCAGGAAGTCATTGCCATGGAAGCTTCTCTTTATTATTTTTTTCATTTTTGGCAGTGATCCTTGTTGTATACCAGTAGCCAAAAATTCTCCGTGCTGTTAAGGTGTGAAACTGCATTTTTTTCAAGTGAGATTCAAATCTGCCTTTTAGGTCCTGGCTCTGTGATTACAGACCATCCTTGCAGGCTCCTAGAAGCTGAAGCTTAGAGCACTGTAAAAGGAAGAGACTGTCATTATCACTCAGGGTCAGCAACGCAGTGAATTAGACAGAAAAAAAATTAACATAGGGCCCTCCCTGTGAGGAGAAAGCCAACTACCTTTAGTTTCCATATCCAAATTTTAATAAAATTTTATTAATAATTTTAAAACATAGATAAAATTTTTCTCCATTACATCCATGTCTAATCCATCAAACAACTTATGTCTACAAAGAACTTTATCATCTACAGGGGGTTTTAAGTACATTGTCTCATTTGATGCCCACAACTTTCCTTGGTAGGCAAGACAGATGTTGTTTTTCCCATGTGACAGATGAGGAAACTGAAGCTCAGAAAGGGTTGATTTGTAAGGCCATAGAGCTAAAAGTGACAGATGTAAGACCTAGGTCTTTTGAACTCAAGTCCATCACTTTTCAACTAAATCAAGTTGCTATTCAGAATAATACTTAATGTCTCCTCTCTTCAAAACTATCAATAGCCCAAAGCTCATGGATGACACGTCTCTGCTTTATTTCTAGTCTCTCGTTTTTTCCTTTTTAGCTTTTGTTGCAATAGTGAGTTTAATGGACTAAACACAGGGTATCATTCTCTCTTGCATCCCCCATGTGCCTTGATGAGTCAGGGAACAAACTGCAGTGGACAATGAGAACAAAGGCTAGAGGCTGCAAAAGGCAGTCAAGGGACAGGGTAAAAAGGGAAGGGAAGAACAGGACACCAGGACTAATTTACATTGTAGAAGAGAAAGAGCTAAAGGGCAGTTAGATGTATTAGATAGATACTTGCTAAGGAGTAGCAGCAAGGTGCCTGACACATGGTATCAGCTGTTATTAATTTTATGAGATTCCATCAGCTCTGCCTCTGTGCTCTTTCTTCTTCCTAACATGAAGGTATCATGAGATGAGAATCTTCCAAGCTAAGCTATAATTCTAAACCTGCACCTATCCCTCCCCAACAAGATGCCAGCACTGCACTTATTCTAGTTACACCACACCCACCCAGCTAAGGAAAATCCAGAGTTCCAGAAGACAAGAATTGATTTTGAGTGATATACATAAGATGTTTGAAGTCACACTGCCTCCAATTCTGAACAATCACTGTAAGTCATTCTCAAGTCCAGACGTAAGAATTCCTGCCAGGGAGTGGGCCCCTGAGTGGATGCTCAGGAAATAGCCATACTGATGAAATTATTTATTCCCAAAGAACAAATACTTGCTTACGGTAGTACTGGAACCACGTGAGCCTGCTCAGCATTGCCTAAGTCATTCAACAAGAAATGGGAGCCTTCACCTTAAAAAAAAAAGTGAGCAAACAGCAGCTAGAGGTTTGGAGAGGGAGTATGTTTGTTTCTTAACGTTTACAAATATTAAGTACTCTTGATACTTATAAAGGTTGTTGCAGTAAAATAATACCCTTGGTTCTACGTGTATATAGATTAGCTATTAAAAAAATAAACATGTCAGTAAGATTGTACAAGAAAAATTACAAACGGTGCATTTGGGGTGTATTTTTTAAGGTTGGCCAGTAAAATAGGATAAATCCTATAAAAGCACAATTTTTTAAAGAACACTTTTGTAAATTTTCTAATTATGTGTGCATATATTGTGCAGTGGTATGAGAAATGACCTTGAATCACTTTGCAATTGTAGATTCTAAATAATAAAACTGAAGATATGCTCTTTGATCCTTGATGGTTATTTCTTCTCTCAAACACCTGTAGCTCAAGACAGTGCAACTGACAGAAAAGTGACAGTTTTTCACTGGTATGATTTCTCTTGATCATAAGCCCCTTAACATCTGATAATCCTCCATCTATCTCCCTACCCCCAAAATGAGAAGAAAAACGCATGCAATTTTTTAAGTAGGAGAGAAAAGTGAATATTTTAAGGAAGAGTACTAAATTTTCTGGCTTTGATACATAGAATCTAATGTAGAACTGGTTTTGAGGCCTGTATTGATTTCCTAAAAATAAAAATGTCCAAGTTAGTGCTGAATATTTTAATTATCTGAACTGGTTGTTTGCCTAAGAAATTTTCCTCAAGCATTCTGGTAACACAATAGGCTGGTTTTGTTACACCTGGTCACATTATTTTTTTTTAATATTTTAAAATTTAATTCCAGTGTTTATTGAATGGCTAGTCTGTATTCTGCTGCCTTATGCGGAGGAAAAATAGAAAAACAAAACAAGGTGAACAAACAAAAATACCAGGCTCATTAAAACCATCTGGTAGCTGTCTTACCCTGTTTGTGCTGCTGTAACAAAATACCATAGAATGGGTGGCTTATAAACAGAAGTTTATTTCTCCTAGTTCTGGAGGCTAGAGAGCCCAAGATCAAGGCACTGGCCGACTCGGTGTCTGGTGAGGGCCTGCTTCACGGTTCATAGATGGCACCTACTTGCTGTGTCCTAACACAATGGAAGAGGCAAGGCAGCTCTGGGGCCTCTTTTACAAGAGGCACTAATCTCATTCTGGGCCAGGGGCGGTGGCTCACGCCTATAATCCTAGCACTCTGGGAGGTCGAGGCGGGAGGAGTGCTTGAGGTCAGGAGTTTGAGAGCAGCTCTGAGCAAGAGCGAGACCCCATCTCTACTAAAATTAGAAAAAAAATTAGCCGGGCGTGGTGGTGCACACCTGTAGTCCCAGCTACTCGAAAGACTGAGGCAGGAGAATCGCTTGAGCCCAGTAGTGTGAGGTTGCTGTGAACTAGGTTTATGCCGCGGCACTCTAGCCCAGGTGACAGAACCAGACTCCGTCTCAAAAAAAAAAAATAAATCTCATTTGGAGTCCTCATGACCCAATCACCTCCCTAAGGCCCAAGCTCTTAACACTATCACACTGGTGATTAGGTTTCAACATAGGAATTTGGGGGAGGACACAAACATTCAGATCATAGAAGTAGTGGCCTTCAGTAGTTTGCTACAAAGAGTAGGTTGGGTTTCTTTGAAGAAAATTTAGGCTGCTGATAGTTGTCCATTAGAAAAAGTTGCTTCCTTCGTGAGTATGTAGTCCCATGGATATATGGCTTGGCAAGAAGTCATGACTACTTGCCAAAGTTAGGAAAAGTTCCCTGTATTAGTATTAGTTTCCTGGGACTGCCATAACAAAGTACCACAAACTGGGTGGCTTAAATGACAGAAATTTATTGTTCCACAGTTCTAGAGGCTGAAAGTTTTAAGTCAAGTTGGCAAGGTTGGTTCCTTCTAAGGGCTGTGGGGGGAAAATCTGTTCCATGCCTCTCTCCCAGCATCTGATAGCCTCAGGCAGCCTTGACTTAGAGATGGTATTCTCTTCCTATCTTTACATCCTCTTCCCTTTGTACATGTCTGTCTCTGTGGTCAAATTTGTCCTTTTAAAAGGCCATCGGTCATACTGGATTAGGGCCCACTCTATTATGACTTCATCGTAATCATCTGCAAAAACCTATTTCCAAATACAGTCACATTCAGTTACAGGGAGTTAGTACTGACATCCTGCCCACAGGACTTCAACATCTTTTTGGAGGACACAATTCAACCCATAACAGTCCCCAACATGATCTACATAATCAGCTGCAGCAGCCCTGAGGCAACCAGAAACTTCTGTGTCCTATATATTTTGCAAATGAAGGCTTATAATTAATGTTTTTTTGTGCTGCCAGATAGGATACATTTTAAGTTCCTTTGGCTCCACCACAGCAAAACAAAAGAAACCTGTTTTCCTAGCTAATGCAGTTCAAAAGAGGAGCTTTAGATTTTATAACAAATTAGGGGGATCTCAGATCTCTAGTGAATAGTACCTCCGAGGTCCCTAAGAACCTAAATTAAATGCTTCATGAAAAACATTCAGTTAATAAGCTAGCTAGGGTAGGAAAACAATAACTTCTAATCCATGACAAGGATGTGTGGCATATTACAAACAGCACTGAAACAAATGCAAGAAATTGCATGAAAAAAAAAACAATGAGAATTATACTACGCTCATTTTTACATTAGGATACTTAGTTGCAAATAAAAAAAAAATCTGTTATCAGAGATATTGTCAGAAGGGTATTAGCTAGCTCCCAGAATCATCGAGAAATTTACAGTCAGCTTTGAAAATGGACAGCAAGCAAAGAAAGTGAGGCATGGCTAAAATTCTGCCACAGAAACAGTCTTAGTACACAGTTCGGGTGCTGTAGGTCCTGGACTGAGGCTGCAGTGCTGCTGGGTTTGCCTCCACCGCAGCTATCACCCAGACGGGCCTTTCACTATTCTTGTGCCTTGGTATCTTGCCTCCAACCAGATGAGAACATCTAATTAATGGAGCCTGGTTCAGGCCCAAGTCGTTTTTACAAAGACAGAAGGCTGAGTGAGGAATTATTAATAACTCCAGCCTTCTGGCTTCCGTAGTAGAAATCAGTGCCCACTCTCACAAGTACCTTGGTATTCCTCCAAATAAGATGTTCTGATTCTGGACAGTCAAGAATGTCAAATGGCCCCTATGAATACTCCGTACGAAAAATGTATGAAATGTTAAAAACAAAAATCATTACCTTCTCTCTTGAACACTATACTGAGTTCTTAACATCTCCCCAACAATGCACACTCACATGTGTGACATCCAGATTTTTATGAAAGCCAAAAATGCCAGGAAAATAAACAAAACTACAACCTTTTTTGGGTAAGACAGTCATTTAATAATTTGTAAGCATGTGAGTAATGAAATCAGCCACTCAGATATTTCCAGATATTATTTTATAAAAAATAAATATAGCTAATCAAATTCTTAATTGAGCTTGGTGTTTTTAATTGGATGTTGATTTTTTTCAGATATGGATGCCACAGCTTAAATAAGGAAATCTATACATTTGAAGGATAAACATATGCTTCATTTTACTGGTAAAATCACAATGCACAGACTTTA